TTGCATAAAAAATAAATAAAAAGTTACAATACTTTCTATATTATCAAATAGAAAAATATTTCTCATTTTATACTTTCCTTTTATCAGTCCCCCCCCCCATATTCCATTTTTTCCAAATTCTGTATGTTTGTGCAAGGCTTCAGAGTTTCTAAGATAAATTATACTAGTTGACTTTTGTTTATTTTGTCATGAAATAGCTTATTATACATATACATAAGAAATTAGAACCCAAATAGTTTTTGTGTTTATATATGTATATATATGTGTCTGTGTATAAATAAAAAAAATGCCTAAATTATTTTACATGTAGCTTAGTCATAAAGGTACTGCAAAGTTTTTCTAGACTTCCAATTTTAGAATGATTACTTGCTACAGTATGATTCTAAAATTTCGATATATTTTTACTAGGCATATCAGGTTATATCTCATTTAAATACATGTTAATTAAAATTTGAAACCATTCATATAGCAGTTTTTTTCTTATGACAAGTATAATAAATTAATGGCCATAGCAAATTATTTATTTTATTAGCATTTATGAAATAGAAAAACTGTCATTAGTTATTCTAAGGAACAGTATAGCTTCAAGATCTTCTTTGTTGGAGGCACATAGATTCAATTTGATAAAATCAAAGCTGAGAAAGAATCTTCCACACTAACTTGAGTAGAAGGAAGAGCTGTTCTGTTAGTCTACGTCTTTTAACTTTTCAGATAATTTTTATAAGTTCTAAAGAGGTCTTGCAGCGCATCTATTCTCGATCCTCAAAGGGCTGTAGAAATCTTGTTTGTATTTTTTCATTTTTATCTAAGGATCTTGTCTTTATTTGCATTGCTTGCTTAGCTTTCAATATACCAAAATATTTCTAAAATCTTTTCATCATGAAGAGGATGATAGAGACTTAATTGCAATGTCGCAGTTTGATGTCTTGATTCAAATTCTCGATTGTTTGAGAATAATTTCATTCTTAATAAAGTATAGATGGCTTTCTTGCATTAATTTGTTGTCACAGATATTCAAGATCGATCTAATATTTGACCCAGCAAGATCTCATTGCAGAAATAGTATCTTTCTTCTTAAAGAAATGATTCCTTCTCAGAAACCTTCCATTTCAGAAAGAACAAACATCCCATTCTCCATCTCACCTCCTGTAATATTCAGATTGCAGCCTTTTTGTAGCTATCTCTTTTTGGAGGCCCTAGATCATTGATAAACTCAAGCTGAGAAGAGTCTTTCCACACTAACTGAGTAGAAGGAGAGTGTGACTGTTAGGGTCTTCTTTAACTTTCAGGATAGATTTTTTAAGTTCTAAAATTCTTCAATATTCTGAGATAATATCATTCTTAATGAAAGTTAATAGATGGCTTTCTTGCCTTTTTAATTTGTTGTCATCCAGAAATTCGGTGTTTCGGCTCTACATACATAAATCAGCAGATCTCATGTCTAGCAAACTAGTTTCTATTTTATTCATTGAAGAATGATTTTTCTGCATACCCTTCCATTCAAAAGAACAACTCCCCTCTTCCATCTCGCCTCCTGTCAATTCTTCAGATTGCAGCTTTTTTGTAGCTATATACAGTGTAGAAAGAAGAAGTTCCAATTCTGCAAGATCACTCCATAGTCTTTCTGTTAGTGAAACATTAGAATTATCTACTTATTTTAAAAAAGTTCTTAATTCTAATATGTACTTCATCATGGCACTGCTTAATCAATAATTGCTCCTTTTCCTGCTGGCTTCTTAAGAATGGCATCAGTTTTAGGAATTCTTGCTGCTATTGCTGCTTACCTAAATTTACAGTGAAATTTGTAACTAAATGAATCAGTTTAATTGCTAATGGCAAATATCACATCCATACTTATATTTATTTATTAATTGTCATAAAATAACTATTTATTAATGTATACATTTGTAAATAAAATAAACTAAGATTGTCTAATTTTTTTCTTTCTATTCATTTTAATTTCATTTCAAATTCAAACTGTCCAACAAAAACTGGAGTCGGAGTCGACCTGTTTTTAGCTACTCCTTTAACTCCAAAATCTGCCAGACTCCACAGCCCTGCCTTATCTGTCTGACTATGCATTGTAGTTTGTATGCTGAAATTATCTAAATCACATACATTTATTTTTATACCCTATCCCATTCCTTGCAAATAATTAATGCTGGCTGGAATTTTGTATGTCATAAAAATTTGAGAATCTAATGAAGAAATTCATACTATATGAAACATTAATTTTAAATTTACTGCTGTAAAAATTAGCTCTAGCACTTAAAATTTTTATAGTGATATAATTTAATTAGTGATATTTTTTATAATATGTTGCTAGAGTAATGATAATTTGGCTTGCAAAAAAAGTTTAAGAGCTCCTCAGAGCGTATTTTGTTCAAATTTGGCTAAATCTAGCAGATTTTTACATCTATTCCATTATAAACTTCTGTACACTTCTGATTAACTGAGGTAACACCCAGAGATGGCAAAATGATAGTTAATCCGATAGCAGTTAAAAGAGCACAGAAAAAAAGAATAACCTACATTATAATGAATTTAAAATGTTCTTAATAATTTACCTGTTGGTGGCTTATTTTTAATCAGTTTTATTGGGAGAATAAAGTCATTTAGTTATTTAAATTAAATCATTCAAAATAAGAACACATTTCAGAACAGAAAATTCTATCTTTTTTATTTATATTACTCTTGTACTTTGATGGAGTCAAGAGGGAATAGAAGATAAATATATGTGTATTTAATTTATTTTTGTGATATAGCAATTTACTCATATCATATATGGATGATTTAACAATATCTATCTATTCAAGATTATGTGCAATTAAATTATGTACTTTTGTGGATAAAAATAATTCCTAAATGCTCTGACATCATTTATCATTAGTGCTGTTATCTCATGTATTTAATTTTCCTTTTTTGCATTTTCAATAGAAATTTACTTTATTCCAATGGTTTGAGATAGTATTTTTTTCTCACAATAAATTCAATTAATTGTTTAGTCATGCAACCCAAGGTAATGGGTACAATGTGGATATTCCATGTCCAGTTAATCAAGAGTTAACTGGAATCTTTTATAATTTCATTAAAAACTTGTGCACTCTCTAAATCATACCAGGCAATTTCAGTTCAAATTTGTCCATTGAAACTTACTAACTTTATCAAAACTAGTTCTACACAGCTCTAAGTATTGAATACTATAATTATAAAAATTGTTTATGCTTGAGAAGAATTTTTGTTCCTGAACATCATTATTTTCTTTTAGATAATGCAAAACAATTCTTAGGCAGAAAATGGTATAAAATTGTGGGGGGGGGTTTCCGCTCAAATTGACAAATTAGTTCAGAATACGTCTGAAATGCTTCTGTTGCTATGATAAAATTAACTTCAGTTTCAGAACCACATTATTCAATAACTGTAGAGTACCATATAAAAATTCGATAAACAATTCACTTTCTAGATTTAAAAAAAAAATCTAATAATAATTTTAGTTATTTGTCACAAGATAGGAAGTACGATTTTAGGCCATCAAAAAAGAAAGAATTCTATCTATTGCTGGTAACAAACTAAGGAACTTTGTGCTACTATGAGATAATACTTTTTTATAAACTATTTCCACAAATTCATGTTGCTCTTAAGTATATATGTAAATGTATTTACAAATTTGGTAAGAATATTTTCTATGCCCAGGTGCAGCAAATCACATGCTGTTTGTATTGAATTATGTGCAGTGTGGGCTTAACAACCAATTCCTAAAATAAGTTTACCTATATCATTTTGAACTTTTCTGAACACATTTGCATTTCCCTTTCTCTTCACACCACCAAAATTATAGCAAGTGCTACTATCAGTGTAAAAAACCAACTTTTGTTCAAGTTCGTATTTTTTCAAGCACTGCAAAAGATGCTGAGTCAAAATTTGAGCAGTTTTACTTGACAATTCATCAAAATTTAAAAGCTAAACTTGAATTCCCTGCTGCAGGTTGAAATATTTTACAACAATCAGAACGAGTTTTACTTCACTTCTGTTTGAGCTATCCATTGCTACTATAATTAGCTTATATTTTCCGGAGAACACAATAGATTATCAAATATAAATGGTGAAGGTTTTTATTCTAGCAGATGAAAATTCTGAGTCATATAACTTTTTAATCAGTTTAGATGTGCAGTCTGATGTTTTGAAACTGAGTTCATGTCTAGCAGTGTGGTATGAAAATTTAGCTTCTAGTAGCACGCTCCAGATCACAGTTATTGCTATTGACTTTAAAAAAAAAAATCTCTTATGTTTACTGAAGTAGTAGCATTAATAGCACTTCTCCTATGTTTAGCTGTTTCAATGTGGTCTACAATGTTTTAATGTGGTTTTTAATGTGCCCTTTCCTTTATGGGCAACAGAAAATTCTCCAGTACATAGTGTGCAATAAACACATTCATTGCTACTGTCATTATATAATTTCAAAAATTTGTATTCCTGTTGGAGGTTAACATTAAACGTTCATTTTCTTTTGCCCATTGCCATGTTGAGACAAAAAAAAAAAAAAAAAAAAGGAATAGAGATGAAATGATCAAAACCATGTGGGCAAGTTCTTTCACACAAAAAATATAACACAAACCCATTTCCTCTGTGTTGCGAATTGGTGAGACTGGTAGCCACGCATCCTTCAAAATCTGTGCTTGCTCCAAGGTCAACTGAGAGAAGCACAGCAGTAAGAAAATTTTAAAAAGCAATATCAAACATACAAATCTAAAATTAAAGAAAAAAAAACTCTCACTAGTCATAAAATTCTCAAACCCTGGGCATTTTTGCAACCTCGGAAAACACTACAAAACCAGGACATCCGGTAATCCTATCTTGCAAGTACATCTCATGTAATTTTTCAATAAATTCACATAGATTTTATAAAAGCAATATCTATCATGCAACCATTTTAACTATGAGTTTTTTTTTACAAATTAAAATTTTCTTTTTAGAATTAAAAATTATTTTCTGTTTAATAGGTATGGTTAAAACCTATTAAAAAAGTTGATTTGGAGGTGAAACCCAGTTATTTATGTCCAGTTTACAAAACAAGTGAGAGAAGAGGAACACTTTCTACAACTGGACATTCAACTAATTTTGTGATATCCATGCGCTTACCAACTAATATGCCGGAACAACACTGGATTTGTCGGGGAGTGGCTCTACTGTGTCAGTTAGATGCATAATTTTCATTGCATGTTTCTTTACTTATTTACTTTATTTAGTGGATATCATATGCGGTGAAGACACCATTGCAATATTACTTTATTCGCTAAATATTCCAATAAATTTTATGTCAGGTAAAACAATGTTGAAGTGCCATTGGAGAAAGTATAATTGTATTTACTTTACTCCATAGTTAAACCATGCTTTAAATTAGGTATTTCTCTTGATTTAGTTATTACTTTTTATCTGTGATATTTTTACTTACTTATAGTATTTTTTAATCGCAAGTTTGTTTATCTGTTATCTTTTATGATTCTGCATAAAAATTATTTTATTTTAAAGGTGTATATCATATTCATTACGTATTTCACCTTCAGAAATGTATTTATCTATTTCCAGACTGAATAATTTATACACATGAATTTCAGAGAACAGATTTTTTTGTTATGTTAGCAGATGTTTGAAGCTTTTTATAAATATTTATGCTATGTTCATTTTAATGATAATTACATTTAACACTGTTTTTCATAATGCTCATAATATTTTGTTTCAAAATTATTTGTGTATAAATGTTTTATTTCTATAACATTATTGATATAAATAAAATGCATTTTAATATTTGACTAAATGTGTTAGTGAATTTCTAACAACAAAATGTACTGTTACATCCAGACTATGTTAATGTAATTTTTTATTATCCTATATTTTTTGTAGTCGTTTATAACATGCAGGATGTGCCATAAAATGTGTGATAATGGTACATGCCGTATTCTGGTCAAATAAATGGTTTAAAAAAGAAATTGGGAATGATCAGAGCAAAACCTATACCCAGATTTTGAATAAAGCTAACAAATTTCTGGTAAAGTACACATATATCAATTAAATGACAAGGCAGTATTTTTTAGCCTTTGTAAAGCTATTATATTTTGAAAAGTAATTTATTATATGGCTTTATTTTTAATACTGATAATTAAGCACTTGATTACCTTTTTGTAATAACTGGTCATAGTTAGCTGCCTTAAAATTTTGTTAACAACTATGCATGAGTAAGTTTTACTCATTTTTCTATTTTTAATTTTTAAGTTCTCATTCCAATTTTTCAGCTAAAAGTATTATGTAGTGATTTCTAAACATCTAAAATAATATGAGCAAAAATATTTTTAACTTCTTTCTGCACTTTGCATATTGCAAAGCAAACATGCATGCTTTCTGCACTTTACATATTGCAAAGCAATCATTGCATATTCCAAAGCAAACATGCATCTGACACTTTTAAAATTCGGAAAATATACATAATACATTCAGAACTATGATATTTTTTCTGTTTAGTTTATCTTTTATTATGGAAATATTTTCCCTTTGTGTTGTTTTCATCAAGAAAGGTTTAATGGGTTTTTCAATGTTAATTTTAGCAAATACTTGTTGCATGGATGTTTCTGTGGTTTCCTAGCATGTAAATATGAGCCAGTTTCCCTTATAAAGTACTCCACAAGGGCATTCCTTCCATTATAAGGAAAACTATTTGACTTCTGACAAAAATCGCCATGAAACTTTCAGTGAGCAACAAACATTTAAACAAAACAACAAGTGCAAAGTATGGCATTGCCCAAATGCCCACAAACCTCTGAACAGAGTGTATAAAATTATAAGCATGCCCACAATATCTGCAGACATGGACTGCCAGATATAATGTATCTGTGACATCATAATTCTAAAGAGCATTCCTGGCAAGTGGCTTACATGTCATACAACAGTGACATTTACTGGAGTATTTCTTCTTGACATTTACTTGTAGGATTTTTGACTTAAATACGTTGTACAATTAGTAATGGCTTGTAAGTCTCGTATTGTGATACAACTATTGGAGATGAGATGATTTTGAAATACTCAACAGATGACATGGTTACAACATACTTTATACCAAAGTTGTTTATCTTGAGGAAGAAACAAAAGTTTTGACAGTTTAACCATAGCCAGACTTTTGAACTATTTATCACTTTCTAACTATGTATTTAACTACATTATATGCATCTGTTCCCCTCAAGACCTACAGACTGCCTCATCGTGGTGAGGGGGTGCCACTGGATGGAGTGGGCAAAGTACGTCGGGAGTGTATTCTCCTGATAGGGCCACCTAAGGCGTGAAGGCCATTCCATTATGTCCAACTAAAGTCTGTAGGCGCTGGAGCTGAGTAAGTCTTCTGCCGCCGGTGCTCCAGGTCTCTGACCATAGAAGCTGCCCCTTACCCCATCCATGAACCAGTGCACCCATGGTATCAGAGTAAGTGCCCTGGTGGCTCCTTGGTTCAGAGCAGCAATAGACGAGATCAAACTGCACTTACTAGATTCCTAAGTCGCCATCTGTTATCAATGACTTTCGTTGGTGGTAATAAACATTTTGAAATATGCACTAAGTGTTCTACCACACAGGCCTCTCCTGATCACATCTTATCTTGTCTAGCGCTTACCAGACAGGATCTGGTTCAAGACCCCCTTTTTGTACTGGACTCTTTCAGGGTGAATGGGCTCATGGACCTGATCTAGCTCTGCTGGTCACGGGGATGAGAAACAACAACATATGTATCTGTATCTCAGAGAGTAGTACAGTCAAAAGTCGTTAATCCGGACTCGTCGGGACTTCGGCGATTCCGGATTATCGATTTTTCCGGATTATAGATCATCAGTTTAAATCTCGTAATATGGCATGCAGAAATTCTAAAACTAAAAATATGAAACCGTAATTTATGAAATAAAGAACAATTATGATCTAAAAGGTATCAAAATTTATAAAAAAAAAAGCTTAATATTTATTTGTTTACTTTATTAAACATTTCTTTCAATGTAAGTTGTTTAAGTTGCTTCATTTTATGTGATAATACTTTCTCTTTAATTCTATAAACAGACATAATTTCTTGTTCAGTTACTAAGTTCCGCTGTTCAAGTCCCGTTAATTGCTGTGCCGAGAATACCGACTAACTTGTCAATCGAATTTTTTTCGTTTTCACTAACCTCTCTGTCACATTCTTCATGTCTTTATCCATTTTTTGCAACAATTCCACTTTTTGTTTGTTGGACATCGAAACATACTTTCGTTTTGTAGATCCTTTGGAAGTTCCAGCATCGGAAATTCTATTTGACATAATCGAAAGTTAAGTTTACTTTTATAAAATTGCTCTTACAGTCTGCAAAAAATAATAAGCGGGATCCAATTCGAAGATTAAGAAACAATGCAATCATTAACATTAAGTGAAATAGATAATTAGATCATTTTAGCTTATTAGTTATACATTAAACGTTTATACACGTTTCCGTTATACGCGTTTAATGTATAACGGACACGTTTATAAACGTGTCCGTTATACATTAAACGCGCAGGCGAAAACGTATTCTGCACTTGCGCACACGCATATGCGCAGTAGTCAAGGTCTTATGCGCTCGCGTAAAACGCCTGTGCGCATGTGCCAACGCGGCACATGCGCAGAAAGTTTTTAGCTTTGAGGTCCGGATTATAGGTGTCCGAATTAACGACTTTTGACTATATAGTTCCATTCACGCTTGCATGCAGACCAAGTTGCTTGTTTTGTTTGACATAAAAGTTATTGATGTGAAGATGCCTGAAGATTTTATAACTGAAATAGATCTCTTTCAGCATAACGACGTGTGTAGTGACCTAGTAGACTTGATATACTCATAATTGGGGACTCATAAATGAAAAATCGAGCATTCATCCAGAAGGTATGTCATGATAATTACAAGTGTAACATTGACAACATCAAATATGTTTGTGATTTCTATGGTTACTCATCATACGTATGTGTAACATAGTATTTTAAATGCATGTGTGCGGGAAATTTGCATCAATTCTACAGCGACATCATGTGCCGAGCTGTCTGAGCATTGTTTCTGACTTGTTACGGTAAAGCAATTTTTTATTTTTAACTTCTACATTTTTGTATTTTTAAATAATTATTTAAAATCCGGTACATTACAACTCCTTAGCTGCAGTTTCTATGTCCGGGTGCTTTGCTATCGATCATTGTGGCAACATTGTATATTAGTTTTTAATAATTATATTATATTTTGGTTTTGTGTATTTACTTTTGTTGTATTATCTTGTATATTTGTGTATATTTGTTTCATCACATTCATGTTATGTTGTATTGTTTCATCACATCGCTCACTACTCCTAGCAAAGCAGCAGTGATAATCAGATTGCTTATATAGAACTTTTAAGCCACAGCCTTTCTGGAGCCAATCTAGCACCATGGTTTCTTAGATTAGAAGCGTAGTTTTCCTCGGATAAAAATTACTTGTGAAAACCACTAAATTCAATCACATAGTGGAATCAGTTGGTACTGATATCATCACATACGTAAGTGATATTTATTGTTAATCACCATGATGATAAGTCGTATTAAACTTTAAAGAAACATCTCATCAAATCTCACACTCGGAGAGTGAAGAATCAAGGATACATACTTTGCTACAAGGTTGTAGCACGTGGCGACTCACGTCCATCCCATTTACTTGGGAATATGTGTAATCTCGTGGGCAATACTGCTAGCTCAAGTGTATTCTTACTACAAACACGTAGAATCGAAAGGGCATTGAATGACGGATGACTGTTGTGGGAGACAGAATTCATCATCTGACCATTTCTCCTCAAATCAGTACAATATGAAGTGCATAATCACCACAAAATTCACGACTTAAAGCTCCAACTGCACAGCTCATTGAAGTAGGTGAGTGAACTGCTTGTTACTGTGCTTCATTATAAAGACAATAAATTTTAAGATCATAAAGTACACAATTGCAATCATTCCAAGGGACACTATAAAGACCTGGAAAACAATCAGTGCTTTTTATCATATGCATTTTGGCTCTAATGCTAAAAAATGTGGCTTTTTATGAAAAAAGACAAAGCTAATATTGATATTTTGTTTTATACAAGGACAGAAATTTCCATCCTTCTGGTTGATCACACCAAACAGCTTGTTATGAATAAGGGTTGGTTCTTTAAGCCGCAGACTGAAGAAAAATCCCAATTCTAGGTAATCGACATCTGACTCGACTTAAATTTATGGTGAATGTTCACTTGTTCTTTCATACATTAGTTGATTGCTAAACATAACAGTATAATTGATGCCAAGATCATGCTTTCTTCAAACAGGGGAAGGTTACTTGTATTCTGCTGGCTAGTAGTACCTTGAGCGTTCTTCTAGATCCTTCCAAGTTTAATTGAATATTCAGAACTTGTTAATCTTTCACATATACCCAAACATAGACAGAATGATACCATCTTTCACCACACTGAGACCAAAGGGCTTCCAGTATTTTCTAAGCCAAACTGCCTCAGCTCTTTGCGGCTGCTGGCCAAGAATTTGAGTTTCTCTTGGCACAGGGTATCATAAAAATCTAAAACAATCTAAGAGTTTTTGTAAGGGGGGTCAAATTTTGAATTCTGTGTTCGTACAGTTCTTCTGCAATTAAATGAAATTTATATTTTTTAATAGTTAAGCGCTCGTTATCAAAAATATTTTACTTCAAAAACA